TAAGTGAATAATTAACAAGGTCTAAACGTGACTCAAGAAGAATGGACAAATTAGCCTGTCCAGAAGCTAGAAAAAGTTATATGAACGTAACATAATAACTGACACTATATGTACTTACTTCCTTATCTATTTACATTTGTTACTCCTCATATAGGAGTATAGACCGTTCACCAGCATTCTCCATTCAACTCTCTCCTGGGAAAAATAAAAATACATTGCCCTCATATTGAATTCGTATTATTTGTGTGTGTGGTCTAATGATACATTACATCTATTCAAATAACAATAATATGACGAAATTGATTTCAAACTTAAATCTATTAAATAAAACGTTAAGTACTTCTAGTCATAACTTCTTTAATTGTACACATATTTTCCTAATATTACCATTCAACAGATTCTCTCAATCAATATATCCTCTTTTACTATAGGGTTAGAATAATAATAAACTAATCAGTAAGTATCAGGGGGTATGTAGAGATTTTAGTAATTTCAATAGTTGAAATCATGAGTCAGTTGAAGCTAGACTACCATGGAAAACCTGGAAGCATTGGACGGCCTTTTCTTCTTAGTATGGGACTCCTCAACAGTGAGCACCCACGATCCCGCCCCCCCCCCGCGACATTCGAACCCAGGACCTATCAGTCTCATGTGCGAACGCTTAATTTCTAGACTATTGAGCTGCCCGGCATCCAACGATGTTAATGTCTAATTTCAATCCATCCACGAAATTGAGCCACTATCCACCACTGTCTTCACTGAGCTGATATCAGTAAGTATAATACAATTGTAATATGATAAGTAAATATTTTGTTATTATTTCTAAATTGAATAATATACCAATGAAAGAGTATACTAATGGGATACAAACAAAAAACTGACATAAATGTATATAGACCATAGTGTGTTTTCTTTTTGTCGTAGTACAACTTTAGGTAATATTTTCACTAGAATAATAAAAATACAGTTTGTCTAGTGGTTTGTTTGTTTGTGTTTGTGTTTTATTTTCAATTATCTTATATTCAAGTACAATCTAAAAACTAGAAAGAAGAAAGAAAAAAGAAAGAAAAGAGAAAGAAGAAAAGAAAGGAAAAAAGAAAAAAAGAAAAAGAAAATAATTGATTGATAAGATTTTCTTTTTTTTCTGAAAAATAAAATTATTATTTTTTTTTTGTTGATAAGATCATTAAGTCAGTAACAGAGAAATATTTTGGAATGAAATAGTTCAACTTTGTTTCTTTCCTTTTTCCTCCTAATTATGATTATTTTTATTTGTAGTTAATATTCATCAACAAAATGAGAATACCGTTATTCTAATTCACAAGTGATTGATCACTATTGGGTGATGATCATGTGTATCGGGTCGTTCTTAGTGCTGATCGAATACTGTTGACCAAGCTGCAATGTCGCCATTAGTTTAGGTGACTTGATAGTGTGTATACTGTGTTGAGATAAGATGGTGGTTGGAGGTAGTTAATAGGAAATCTTGGACCGAGGTTTTGTGCTATTTGGCACTCTTCAACAAGGTGTACCTGTAATCTTGAGGGAACTGATGCTCCCTGATGGATTCGATCCCATGTCATTCAGCTTCACCGTTAGAGGCGTTACCACTGAGCTATTCGATCCGCGACTGAACTTCTGTAGGACTGAGGTGTACTTACGATTGATTGGTCACTGGGCGGTGATTAATGTCATATGTGTCAGGTCGTTCTGGGTGCTTATCGAATGCTATTGACCAAGTTACAATATGGTCAATAATCTAGGTGACTCGACATTGCATGTACTCTGTTGAGATAAGATGGTGGTTGGAGGTAGTTAATAGGAAATCTTGGATCCAGGTTTTGTGCTATTTGACACTCGTCGGCAAGGTGTTATTCATTCATGATATTGTCTACATGTAACTTATTTATCAAGTACTAAGATAGTATACTCGGTGTTAACATACTCTTGGAGTGAGGTCTAATTCAAAGTAATGACTATCCGAGAAGAAGTAGATAAAATGGAATTTGAAGCTATGATACAATGAATGAAGATTGAGTCATTCATTGGGTAACTAATTATATAACTCATGATATTCTAATTTATTTGACAAGAAATACAAATCACAAGCGAAAATACACTTGATAATAACATCATTCACGATATGGCGATGTTATGCTTTTGACTTGAACAAATCTATATCAAGCAGTTAAAATGGCTGCAATTAAACTCAATTCGATTTCGTAATTGTAACAGTCTACTTAGGGACCAATCAGAACGAAGCGGGAATTACTATGTCCGCCATCTTTGGAAACAATGGCGGTCGGCTTTCCTCGTTCTGTTTTTTTTTCGATGTTTCTTTTGTGTAGCTGCATAAGTTATTGTTTCAGTGTGCTGAAATTCTGCGGTTAATGTAATACTCTGAGTGTTGTAGGAAATTTTCATTGAATCAAATTTGTTTTCTCAGTTTTTGCTATTGCTACTCAAGTCGACTAAACTTAATTATACGATAACCGAGAATACTAAATTAATCTGGTGTCATAATTATTGTCTCATTTGCACAAAAATGTTACTTAAAGTAGTTAAATGTAAATAATTAAGCCTATAAACCCTAAACTTACCTAACAGAAGACAAACGATATTGTTTTGAGACTGAAGTCAACAGTCGCTTACTTATAAAAACATAGTTCACAGCACAACAAACCTTTGTCCAGTAATATTATTGATTGGTGGTCTACTTGAAAAAAATCAACGATGTGAATAAACTTACTGTGACTTAGGATATCATCCAGCATGTAATGCATGTGCCATGTAAGGCAAATGGACGTGGCTAATAAGAATTACAACCAGAGCAAAACTCACAGTATAATCTAGCTTTTTAATACAAAAAGAAAATACATCATAATATGACAAATTAAGTGACTACATGAACATAACCATGACCGTTATTCCACTTGGCCATGCATTAGGTTTACATGGCAACGTTGAGTTTAAAACTACCCCTTAAAACGAGTATTTTAGCCTGTTTTCATAGTTTCACAAATTTCGACATTAGATAAAATTTTATTGAATATCATTTTTCTTTATTGAGATCATGAACTGATTGATATTAGACCACCATTGAAATCCTGGAAACAGTGGACGACCGTTTCGTCCTATTGTGGGACTCCTCAGCAGTGCGCATCCACGATCCCCTTCGCGGGATTTGAACACAGGGCCTTCAGTCTCGCGCGCGAACACTTAACCACTGAGCTGGCCGACATACAATGGTGTTAATGTCTAGTGGATGTGCACTGCTGAGGAGTCCCACAATAGGGCGAAACGCCCGTCCACTTCTCCCAGGTTTTTAATGGTGGTCTTATATCAATCGGTTCATGATCTCAATAAAAAACTTAATAGTCTCCACAACATTATACTGAGAATTTTGTTTTAATAGGTTTTACTAAGAATGAACTAAAGTGACTGAATTATCAGAGTAGAATTGATAAGCAATTAGGATTTCGAATAATTTATATAACAAATAGCAAATGGATCAGCTATATAAATAACACAATGAAACTCTATTTATTAGGTATAGTTTGAGTGATAGCTAACAGGGGAATATAGAAAGGCCAATATATCCTATTTCACAGTCAATAGTCTGAAGTATTTGTATTTCACTTTCAATCTTCACACTGATAATAGAAACTTTTGTTTTTCTCTTCATTCGTCAAGAGGAAATATCTGAACTCATACAAATTGTAGCAAACAAACTGTGTGTATCAACACGTTCCATACGAGTAATTTGTATATTTTGATTGAAAGGAAGTTGAAATATGTCTGTTAAAAAATGTTTGAGAATGTTTTGAATGTGTATATCTTTTAGTTTTATTTGATTCACTCTACCTGCGCAATATTTTATATGATACAATGGTTTAACTGTTACTGTGGCTTGTATATACTACGTGTTTTCTCTATGTTGACACTTTTCACAGGACCGACATTTTACTTTTGAAATCACAACATACAACTTATCACATTGTTTGAATATGCCACTTAATGAAGGTAATAATCACCTTTTTGACTGTAAGAATTAATAGATGAGTTTGGACTTAAGATAAATGATTATTTTTAAATGATTAGAGAATGTAAAGCCTAATAATATGAATCATTACCGTAATTTTTGGTAGTTGCGTAAGGATTTCAAATTAATATGTTTAGTTTAATATATTGCAGTTCTTTAAATAAATACTAAACATTTCCTAACTAATGTATTTCACTCTTTAAAACATTTTTGTCTGCTTATCAAGTTATTTGATCACATTATGAACTATAATGAAGTCAACAGTTTCACTTCAGTCCTGATTACCATTAATCTGAATGTCAATAATTATTAATAGTTAGCAACAGAATTCATAGAGTATATTTCGTTGTATTTATGACTTAACAGCTAGATATATCTACGTTTTACTGTTGATATTTATATTAGAACTTCAATCGCCTAACGTGTTAACCACTTACGTAGTAAGTCCATATAGTCAGTCATCTACAACGTGGGACCTGGCACATATATGGATCGGTCCAATTAACACACCTCGTTAGCATAACAAGAATAACGCTAAATTCATAGAAGCACTTACTTCAATGGTAGTAAAAAAAATTTCATATAAGGACCTGATATAGAGAGAAAGAATTGATTCGTAGAAAGAAAAGTATAAAGCAATTTCCATCTCATGGTTTAAGAGGAGACAAACAGTGTCACACCTACACAAATGTGATCGATTTTGAGACATGTCACCAAGAGTCTCCAACCATTGGTTACGATGGTCATGCGGACCCCAATCAATTAGTCTACATCTACCAACACCGCTCAGACCAGAAGTTAGTGATTTCAAGGACTGATACCATGTTTTGGTTTGTCCGCCCCTAATTTTCTTCCAACCATCTCTAACACTATTCATCACTGTGCGTCGTAGTAATCGATGTTCAGGCATACATAACTCATGGACCAACCATTTCAATCGACGAACATTTACAATCTCATCAACTGATTTACCATCATCCTCTTGGAATAAACTTCTAAAAACACAGATGTTGTTTCCTTGTTTTAAAAAAGAAATTACTCGGGACTTTTTTTTCTCAATTTCACTTTATTTTACTTATTAAATACATAAATACAAGTTAATGTTCATTGTTTTGATATTTTGTTTCAAGAAAAATCAGAATAACTGAAGAAAATCATCAAACAACAAATCATAGAATATATAACCAAGCACTGACATATTTATATATATAACAGTGCTGATGATCGGCCTATGCTCCTTCACGAGGGGTAACAGGCGTATGTATATATGTATACCATATGTGCATGTTCTCATGTTTGAAGAAAACGAAGAATACAAACTTATCACGAATATAATGGAAATAAATACAAACAGTAGTAGTGGTAATAATAATAATAATAATAATAGTATTGAATAAATTTATCACTTAACAAATATCATATGTATACAGTTACATTTATAAATGTACATGCCGTGATAACAATCCAAAAACAAACACAAAAAATACACACACACACACCCAAAAAAAGAACTACCAAGAATAATAATTATAATGTTATAATGATAAAAACACAGCCACTTTTATATATCTCATATATAATATTGTCATTAGTTATATCAATTTAAGCATAAGATCATTTTAAAGACATATACATTACATAATTGAAAAGAAGAAAACAAAACGAGAATAAATTCTCAATTACTTGTTCATATAATATTGTAAGATAGATGATAGAAAAGAATTGTAACTCAACTTAGATGTATGAAGTTTTCGATGAAGTTTTAATTCTCTGAGATGAAATAGAGTAGAAGTTTGTGCTGCTGTTGCTGTTGATGGTGATGATGATGTCATTCAAAAGAACAATGAAAATTCCATGATTAAACCATCCAGCTCAAAGAACAAAACTTTATTATTATAATAATAGTGTATTTTCTTTATATAAGTAGTATTTTAATGTTTATAATAATAAGAGAATCTGATTTTAATGTATACACAAAAATGTGAATAAATAAAATGCACAATTTTATTGATTTTTTTTATTGATTTATGAAACATACCCATAGTGTGATGGGTAATACTAATTGTTTATCTTTATTTCTTTTCTAGAAAACAAACCCCCCCCCGAAAAAATTAGAAACATTTACAGAAATTGTTCATTCTTAAACAGCATTATACTGTGATTATGTAATGGATTGCTTAAATCATTCATATTATGTAATCTTATTACTAATGAAAGATTAAATAATTTGATATTGAACATATTAAAAGTACCAATCATAAGAGTAAACAATCACATTAGATTCAAAAGAACATGCTCACTTTAAGACAAAAATGGAAGAAAAACAGAAGTAAACAACAATTGAAACCAACAACTGAACAGAAAGAGAAAGGAAAACAAACAAACAAATAAATAAACAACAATCTATCAAATTATGAATGATAATTTAAATAATTTGTTAAACCAATAGATCCCTGATTAAATTGTGAATTTGTTGTTACAGAATTCATTAATTGTGGATAACAGCCAGATTGTAAAAAAAGTAAATTCGATTGAATATTTGGTTGAATAGTAACAGTTTTTAATGATAATGTTGAATTTGTACATGAATTTGGTAATGATGGTTGTGGAATAGATGGTGGTGGTGGAATAAATAAACCATTATGTATAAGATTATTAGAATTTGATTCAATAGGATTAGATAGATTTGTAGGTAATCCATTATATAATAATGGTATACATTGTTCATTTGTTATTCTTTGATTCATATTTATCAATTTATGATGATTTATATTATGATCATTTGTATTAGTATTAACTATCCATGGTACATCATATGTTACATTATTTGTATCTGAATAAGATATTGGTTCATAAGACATTGAATTTAAACTTCCATCACCTATTGTACTATTTGATGTTGGTTGAATACATCTACCTAATTCTGTTTGAATAGTTTGTTGTCTTATATTTACAGGTAATGTACCATGATTAAAACCAGATAATCCATTTAAAAATTGTTGTGTATTTAATAAATTAGTTGTTAATGAAATAGATTCAGAATTTAATTGATTTATAGGACAATTTGTTATTGAATTTTGTAGTAGATTTGTTTCTACAGAACTATTACTACTACTATTATTACTATTATTAGTAGTAGTGGTTGTTATTGTAGTAGTACTAGTAGTACTGGTAGTTGTCGTCGTCGTCGTTGTAATTGTATTTGGTCTGGATATATTACATAATGTATTTAATGATGATATACCACCACCATCAGGTGATAGATTAGGCACTTCTAAAATACTACTATGATCTGTTTTATGCGGTCTATATAATTTACGTTGATCACATGATGTTAATCTACAATGAAATGTTTGATATATAATAAAAAATAATAAAACAGTTGATAAAAATGTACCCGCTGTAGCTGCTATTAATTCACCTAAACTAAATTGTTTTATATGTAACATTGAATTTGTATAAGATAATGATGATATAGTAGTAGCAGTACTACTACTACTAGTAGTAGTAGTATTAGTAGACCAATTATTTAAATAATTTAATTTACTTTCATTATATGCAGATAATGATAATTGATTATCGATTTTTAATAATGGCCATTGTAATTGTATAGTTGCTGTGACATTACTAATTATATCAATTCCAATACATGAATACTTGTCAATTTGTTGTTGTTTTATAATATCTAGTTGACTTTCTACTTTAATAATATCATTATTCGTATAAGAAATTTGTTTATTATTTGGATATCTATGTGTGATATGATGATTGGATAGATTAACTAAAGTCATAGTATTATTATTATGATTATGATAATACCATGTGATTGATAATTCTCTAGATCCTTTCATTGAACATGTTAATCGAACGGAAGGATATTGTTGATGATCTGAGTTCTTTATCATAGAATTTTCCATTTGATAAAGATGAGTTAAATCAACATCAAGACGTTCAAGTTGTGGTGGTGTACAATAAAGAATAAATGGTGAATTGGATTTTTCCCATGTATTTATCACTGGATTATTATAATCATAAACCTCTGATAAATCAGTAATTAAATCATTAAATTTATAACCAGCTAAAGAGAATGGAGTTGAACATTTTGGTTGATTATCATCTTCTTCATCATTATGATTCCACTTATTCTTCTTATTATTATTATTGTTTTCTATTGTATTATTTCTATGAGATTTATGCATAGATTGATAACGTTTTATAAGCCAATTTAATTGACAATCACAATGCCATGGATTATCATGAATTTCAAAATGTTGCAACTCTTTAAAGATGACATCATATTTCTTATCCAATTGTTTTAATTGATTCCCATTAATAATTAGCTGATTTAATTTACTCATAGTGATTAATTGTATTAATGATTGATATGGTAATTCATTTAAATTAGAATTACGTATAATTAAACTTTTCATTGAAGTTAAACCATTAAATGTATTCAATTGAAAATTACGTAATTTAATTTCATCCATAATTAAAGTTAATTGATCTAAACCATTAAATGTATAATCTTCAATATGTATTAATGGATTCCCAGTTAAATCTAATAAACGTAATTGTTTACCTAATATTTGAAATGTATTCCGTTTTAAACTAATTATATTACAATAACGTATATGTAAACTTTTTAATTGAATTTGACCACCATATTCAATACTACGATAAATAGATAATTCATTTGGTCCTAATTCTGTATTCATAAAAGTTTGATTTTGTATTAATAAATATTCTAATTGTAATATTGGCGGTGGTATTGGTAAATAATTTAAACCGGATAATTCACAATTCATACGTTTGGAACTACATATACATTGTTTTGGACATATTGTATTATCATCTAATTGATAGGATAATTGAATATTAAGTAATGTCATCATCATAATAAGTAGTATATATTGATGATAAAAATGTAATTGTGTTTTTTTGATAAATGAATTCTGTAAATAATCCATATTCAATTGATTTATTACATTTGAAGTAATCGTGTGTTTTTTTTTAATTCCTGTTGTTTTGTTGTTGTTGTGGTGGTGGTGGTGGGTGGGTGGGTGGGTGGGTGGTGATGGTTACTCTGAATTCTTCTCCTCTTTCTTTTTCTAAACTAGATATTTAAAATAAAATAGAAAGAAAAAGCATTAAAAAATTGATAAATTGATAAACACATTTATTTTAATACTATTATTATACAATATGAAGATAACTTCTAAGGTGGATTTAGTTTTAAGTAAACAATTACTGAGTGACTTCAAAAGGTATTTCCTGAAGTTCTTGTGAGATAGTAACTCATAGAAGACAATGGTGAATGTGTCGCTCAATTTTGTGGATTATTTAAAGTTAGATATTACCACAATTGGATACTTACTCAGTGGTCTAGAGGTTAAGCATTCGCACGCAAGATCAATAAATTCTGCGTTCGAATCTCATGAGGTGGGATCATGAATGTTGACTGATGAGGAATCCCATGGTGGTCTAGTTTCAACTGACTCATAATCTTAACTACTGAAGTGAATGGAAACTAGGAAGTACTGAACAAATGATTCATCATTGTATAACACTCACGTTGATGATATAGATAGAAGTCACACAATCTACAATTTTTTGATTATTATTCTATATAGATATATATAAAACTATCAGTCATACCTAAGGTTTGAGGATTCAAAAATCAATAAATACATGGTTTATTGAATTTTTTACTTATTTGAACACATAAATATCGGTACAAAGGGGCACCGAATACATATGCACCACACAAGTCACTTGATTTGTGTATGGTTTATGATATTATCCGGGTGCCCAAACCGAAGCAAGTGGTTTTCTCAAGGGACCACACCTGAAACGTTTGACCTAGAGGTCTGATCCACAAGGCAGTGGAGCGACGTTAGATGTAGTACCATAATACACGCTGACCAACAATAGGTTCATACGCTACTTGTTCTCTTAGGATCATCACTCGGTAAGACACATTAAGTAAACTTTCACTGAAAGAACATTCTTTGTATGCCCACTTATAATCCATAAATTAATGCATTGAATAGTTTTGGCTATATATTAAAAGTTAATTTATTTCAAAAGTTGTAACAGCTCACTTATTACTATGGAGTTATAACTCAGTACTTAGGGTGTTTGACTTCCATTCAGTAAATCACAGGTTCAAACGTAACTTTATCTACTTTAGTTTAAATAACCTGTTAGTAACATCACTCATGCCTAAAAGGTGACTCAAAGCAAACGAGTGAATAAGGCATACAGTCAATAAAATTAACAATTACATAACTATTTTTAAACAAGTTCTAATAACATTTTAATAATATGCACTACTGTATTGTCTAGAATAATTTATGACAATAAGCGATTAAAATATGGGTCAATTTTGATTACGATTTTATTTGACTTCAGTACTTACCACTAAACTAACAATTTTATGGTTGTACTGTTAAATACACATTACACTTGTCTCTCTGTACATCAAACTACTTTCCTCAATCAGTCTAATTCACATAATCATTTTTGATGATAGACACTTATAGTAAACGAAAAATGTCTAGTTTTCATCAATATATTGGATCATATGTTCAGAATAATTAATTAATTAATAATTTCAGAAGGGGTTTTGTGGATATTATCGGTCACCAACGATTGGTTCACACGGCATTTGTTTCTTTAGGATACTACAGCCCATGTGCACCATTAGTTTGAAATCAGGGTTTTCCAACTCCCTGGTGTCCACCAACCCGGTTAAAGCGCCGGAAATTCGCTTTTCGTCCTCTCAATTCCATAAACAATATCCTCGCCATGTGAAGGCAGTGAGTAAGACTTCCCTGTCAGTGGTTGTATTCACGTGGCCACTTCAGAGCATTTCGAGAAAGAAAGAGAGAGCTGACTCTCCCCACTCTCAGCCGTACCAGGGCATATGGAGGCAAAGCCATGGCACCCGATGAGGGGGGGTAATAATAATAAAAAAACATTCAATAACTTCAGAAACTCATACATCATGTCCGTAATATTTTTCTACAAACATCTAAATCCATTCGTAATGATTATGATCAATAACAAGTAACGCATGAATAAAAGAAGTTTCTTATTTGAATGCGCATCAAGGAGTCAGACCAAGTAATTCATTGTCAGATAAAGAAAGATTATATAAAAGTAATAAAAACCTGGTCTGTTGTGAGATAACAACTCACTGAAGACAATGGTGTACGGCGGCGCAACTTCGTGGATTGGTTGAAGTTAGACATTAACACCATTGATGCCGGCTCAGTGGTCTAATGGTTAAGTGCTCGCGCGCGAAGCCAGTAGGTTCTGGGTTCGAACCCCGCTTGGTGTGGGATCGTGAATGCGCACTGCTGAGGAGTCCTATACTAGGACGAAACGGCCGTCCAGTGCTTCCAGGTTTTCCATGGTGGTCTAGCTTCAATCAACTCATGATTTCAACCTGTGAAATTCTTAATAAAAACTTTCGATTCGATTCAAAATGTACTTTAATAATGTGACAGAAAAACCTGTTCTTCATGTTAATTAATATTCATTTTTCTCATTTCATTTATTCTTTTCTTCTATTAGGTTAAAGAAATCTCACTGACCTTCTACTATATAACCTTGACTTTTAAAATCAATGAACAAATTACAGTTGATAATTAATTCAATAATTAATTACATGAGGTATTCAATTATCTTATGTTCTTATTATTTTCAGATCTATGTCTCTTTACACAATGTTAATTCATTCAATTAATACCCATGGTTAATGATCGAATTGAAAGAATGAACTCATTAAAAGTATATAATGTTGATTGTATGATTAAATGGAAAACATGAAAATAGAAACATTCTATGACTTTGTATCCTTTAAACATTCTCTGTTTATTCATGGTATTGAGAATACAAATTTAATTTTATGTATATTTATTTCAACAGTTGAGATCATGAGTCAATTGAAGCTAGACCACCATAGAAAACCTGAAAGCGCTTATCGGCCGTTTCGTCCTATTTTAGGACTCCTCAACAGTGCGCATCAACGACCCTCGCGCCAGGCGCTTAACCAACTATTTATTTGTATAATAATTTTAATAATTGAGATTATGAGTCAATGATAGCTAGACCATCATGGAAAACGGCCGTTTCGTACATATGTTCACTGATGACTGTCTTCAAGAGGTATTTTCTGGAGTTCTAGTGAGAAGTAGTGGCCAGTGAAGTTCAACCGGGTCTGTTGTGAGATAGTAACTCACTAAAGACAATAGTGGATGTGTCGCTCAATTTCGTGGATTAGTTGAAGTTAGACACTAACACCATTGGATGCCGGCCAGCTCAATTGTCTAGAGATGAAGCGTTCGCGCGCAAAACTGACAGATCCTGGGTTCGAATCTCGTGAGGTGCGGGATCGTGGATGCGCATTGCTGAGGAGTCCCACAATAGAACGAAACGGCTGTCTGGTGCTTCTAGGTTTTTCATTGTGGTCTTTCTTCAATCGATTCATAATCTCAACTATTAAAATACTATAATATCCACAATAACCCCATTGTAATATTTGTATAATAGTCGATTCTATTTAGACAGAACAGGACTCAAATTTGTATACACGGAATAGCTGAAATTCAAGAAAATTCTAACTATTTATATACCACACCTCAATTTACATAAAATCATCGATTGTGCACACTCAGTTAATTGTCAACAACCAAATACAAGACCAGTTAACCTTTTGATGATAAAAATACGACAGTATGAATTGTGATTTCAAAAATATCACAAAAGAATGATCATTTACTGGACGGAAGTCATTGTTGAAACATAAAGTATTTTCAATTATAACATTTTATCAGTCATATTTTGATTGTAAACACTAAGTTCATTGATTCGTTAGAGCGGTAAGATTTGTTTAAGAATTCATGAAGTGTTATAAGACTTATAGCTCATGAAGATGAAGCTCTAGAAAAATAATGATTTCTTCGCGGTTGATGAAAAACGATCCTGAAAAGTAAATCAAAGCATCATATTGATGACTTTTGTACATTGAAATAATTTCAGAATTATTTCTTAGTTTACATACTTGGCTTATCTTAGTTGAACACATATTGAAAACCAGGAAGCATTGAATAGCTATTTGGTGCCAGTATGAGAGCCCTTAACAACACGTATCCAATTTCATATATACGGGGGGTTAAATCTAGAGCCTATGTTTTTCACGACTGTCACTTAAAACTTAGGCTTATAAACCGGCATCCAGTTGTTTTCATGTCAAACTATAAATTATTCGCGATCTTGCACAACGATCTCCTAATAACATTTGTGCCATTTTCTATTCATATTAAACACTTCATACTACTTTGAGCATATCAAATATTAGAGAAATAAAAAGAAAAAAGTAACAAAACAAGATAAGCATAAAAACAACTGCAACTACCAAAGTGAAGATGGATAGTGGCTAACAGTGGCAATACAAGACATACTTTTCGTCCTACTTGGGACTTTTCAGCTGGATGTGCCTGCATCAGAGTTGATGTTCAATTGCAATCCTAAATAAGAATAAGAAGATACATATAAACAACACCAAGTGTATATAACTTCATCCCATTACACAAGCAGGTGGTTATCAGGACTCAGTAGCTAAGTAGATAACACGATGGTGTTTGAAGCGAACTGATAGTGGGTTCGAGTCCTAGAGTGAACATCAACTCTGAGATGTAAGTACATCCAGTTGACGAGTACCAAATAAGAAAGAACACACGTCCTGGATTACACTGTCGACCACTATCCATCTTGTGACTTAAGGTTATATACAGGATGCACATATGCCAATAAGTGACTGATCAATTACAGTCTAAAACAACACCAAATGAATTTAACCGCAACTATCATTAAAGAATAAATAAACAAAATAAAAATGGAATATGTAAAATACATTTTCAACAATGTTAGTTTCTCAACACCTAAACAGCTGAAATTGTTTTGACAAGTAGACTGGTTAAAAAGTAACAATATACAATCATTTACTGTATAGACATACATAGAAATATACAAAGAAATTGACATGAATAGAACAATCTACACATTATGATTCATTTGTAAGTAGTGTATTTTATTTATTTTTTTTTG